AAGTCCTTCAGGTGCTGATACTCTTGCTTGATTGTTGACCACTTCAACTTCTGATCCGGACCATTCAGGCCAGGGATTGTTTTCACATCTCGCAAGGAATACTGAACTTCTTCTCTTCCGACTCGTGCCACATGGCATTTCTTGATGTGCTGGGAAGTAAACACCTTACGCACATCTACTCCTTGAATTTCAAGATCTACTTCTTTGCCGTGAAGTCCAAGTGAGAGTGCTAAACTTTCATCTATTAGTGTTGTGTTACAGCCTAAGTCACGCAATGCCATCACTTGTTGTCTTCGTGTTTCTCCAAAGACAACTATGGGAAGTACTTCAACAAAAGCACGACCACCAGCTTCACAACCTACGTGCGCTGACTGGCGATACCCTTCGTGGGGCTCCACAGACTGACACGGTGATGAGTCTTCACTTTCCAAGGATACTTGTGGAGGATCACTTTCAACATCTGGCACTCGTTCAGATTCACGTTTCGTTTTTGCTCGTTCAATAAATTTCAAGTCGACTTCATGTACGAGGGTATGATGACGCATGTCGCAGTTCTCAACTTTGCATCTATTCCTACTACGGCATTTACTCACACGATGACCAGGTAATAGACAACATAAGCAGAGTTTGTGTTCCTCAAGAACTTTCACCTTTTCGTTAGGCAACATTCCTTTAAACCTTTTGCACTCCTGCAAAGTGTGATTAGTGGACTGGTGAATTGAGCACCTCTTAGTTCGACAGCTGGTGCGTAAAGCTTCTCCTGTGGCTCCTACAAACAGCCCAGATTGTGATTTGTCAGCTGACCTACGCCTATCAAGTTTAGATGTATCTAAACGCTTCCACTCTCTCTTCTCTGGCATCCACCGCTGCCTGGACCCACTGATTTTTGCCTCTTTTTCCAGCCAATTTGCAAATGAATCCGACGTTGACAACTTTCGTTTTCCTTCAACAAACTCGGCCCATCTACAGCAAAGGCGTGCATGTAGTTTAGCAACAATTGCTTCAGGGACTTGCGATTTAAGCACATGAAGGAAGTCGTACTCCTTGAAAACGCCTATCAACTCAGAAACTATTTCTTGATACTGCCTGATCTGCATACTATTTTCTTTCACTATGGTCGGAAATTGGTCTGTACGCTTCTTTCCAGCTGACACAACTGTGTCTACACGGCCAAAACGCTCCTGAAGCGCAGTCCATGCCTCCTCGTATTTGTCTAAATCTAAATCTAAATCTTAATATCGTTATGTCGGCAAAATCGTTTAAGACATCACGCCAACTCTAAGATAATAATAAGTGAAACTATACTAAATATAAAACACTATTAAAAACTATTAAAAATTATTAAAAACTATTTAAAACTACCGATAAATAAATTTAAGTTAGTTTGTTTTTAAAAATACGGAGGGATTGGCTGGAAACAATTTCTTTTGGGAGTTTGTTCCATTCAGTTATTGTCCTGGGGAAAAAAGAAAATCTAAAAATATCTTTCTGTCCTTTCGGTACAATAAATTTAAAATCATGGCTTCCTCGGGTTCTCCTTTCATTGTTTGTTATCAAATAATCCCCCCAATCCCCATCTAGGAGGCCGTGGCACATCTTGTACATAGTGGAGAGCCTTGCATGTCTTCTCATTG